TCTAGTCAACAAAACATTTTTCAAAACCAGTGACTCCCAGATAATGTTTCTTTGTGCATCTGTATTGCGTTACTACACGGTTATGTTTCCGTTTATATCATGACCTGAGAGAAAATCCAGGCTTGAAGTCTCATCCTAACCCTAGAGCAAAAGCAGCAAGGGCCATTAGAGCAGAAGCTGCTGCACTCCCACCATGATAGTGTTGCCTCACACAATAATTCATCTCTGGATTATTGCATTTGGAACAGGGATCACTGCGTGACTCCAGTGGCATTTTCTAGAAGGTGTGTTTCCCTTGGTACCCTCTCCAATCATTCCATTCCTTCCCCAACCCTTTGCAAGGCAGCTAACAACTGGTTAAGAGCCAGGAGAGGATTAGCAACACCAACACTGCCAAGTTTTAGTGTGGGTGTTCTGTTAGCTCTTCTTTATTTGTGGTAGGCTGGAACATTGCTCTGTTTGTTTTATTAATGTTGCCCTTGCAGAATTATACCATTTAGTTTGTCTTTACTTCTCCTGTTGCTCTGTGTAGTTGCTGTGTATTGTGTATGTTACCTCTGTCTTCATTTTACTAGAACTGTAGCTTTATACATTGATCTCTCTTACAGTGCCTTGCAGAAGTATTAACCCCTTTAAACTTTTCCATATTTTTGCAGTATTACAACCTGGAATTGAAATAGACTTAAGTGGGATTTTTAATCATTTGATTTGCACAATATGTCTAATATTTCAAGGTGAAACATTTTTACTGTGGCACAAAGATTAATGAATCAAAAAATATTTGATGGTTGCACAAGTGTTCACCCTGTCTGCATCAATACTTGGTATCTTTGGCTCTGATTGCAGCTGCAGATCTTCTGGGATATGTCTCTATTAGCTATGCACATCTGGATTCTGTTATTTTCACCCATTCTTATTTGCAACATTGCTCAAGCTCTGTCAGATTGAATGTAGACCACTGGTGAACAGCAATCTTCAGGTTTTACCACAAATTACAGGGATTGATGTCTTGGCTTTAACTGGGCCATTTTAACACATTCAGGTTCTTGGTTTTGAACCACTCCTGTGTAGCTTTGGCAGAATGCTTAGGGTTGTTGGAAGGTGAACCTCCACTGGAGTGTCAAGTTGCTTGCAGGCTGAAAAGGGTTGTCTTCTAGTTGTGCCCTGTATTTGGCTCTGTGCATCTTGCCCTCAATCCTGACCAGTTTCCCAGTCCATGCTGAAAAGCATCCCTACAGCATACCACAACTACTACCATTTTTTCACTGTGGTGATGGTGTTGTCAAGGGGATGAGCACTGTTGGGTTTCTGCCAAACATAGCACTTGGTGCCAAGGTCAAGTTTTGTTTTGGTCTCATCAGACCAGAGAACCTTTTTCCACGTTAGCTGAGTCTCCTACATGCCTTTTGTCAAACTCCAAATGGGATTTCATGTGGCTTTTTGCAATAATAGCTTAATTCTCTCCCAGTTCTGTGTAGTGTCTGGGTTATGGCTGACCTTTTCAGCTTTTTCAGAGTTGCTCCCTGGATTTTTGTTTGCTTCTCTCACTAATGCCCTTTTTACACAGTCACTGACTTTTGGTGTACTTAGGTACTGTACTGTACAGGTACTGTAAGTTTTTTGTTTTTTTTTAACCTGCATTTTACTTGAGTTTTTCTTTCACCTAATGATTTTGACCTTACTACATTCTACTCACTACATTTCTCTATAATCGTATATCTGTAAAATAAAGTTTTATGTCATAAGACATATCAGACAGCTTCAAGTAGTTGATCTAAATTCTTAACAAATTTATATTTTAACAGATGTGACAGTGAGAATGAGACCTAATACCTACCACTGTAATCTATCTACTGCTACGTGCACAATCAAACTAGTTCGTATTGTAACAGCTAGACTAATAGTATTAAATTAGTTTGTATATTCAGAGTTATTATCATACTAACTATGTTTTAGTTAACCTCAGCTAATGCGTTCCCACATTCCTTGTTTCCATGGTGAAAGAGGCAATAATATACCATCAGTAACTGAAATGAGTCATTTGCTTTTGTGAAGCTTTTTGTACTTTTACTTTGATACTTTTAGCAAATGTAAGAGTTTACTCTTTTCTACTTTACCTTTATAGTGAATTATTTGAAGCTGTAATTCAAGTTTTACCAAGTATTTACTGCATTTAGATGAGCAATTACACTTTGCATCCACTTTGAATTTTAGCACTTTTACCACCTCTGCTAAATCAACACAGATAATTTATGGAAAATTTAATTACTAGATCAGTAGTATACTTAACTAGTACCTAATGGACCAGCAACTCAGTGTAGAACCTCAACACAGAAGGCAGCTTGCCATTTCACCACAAGATGTCAGACTTTCCACACTTTGAGAATCTCCAGTGACAGTTTATTAAATGTATCTTGTTCTCTGTCTATTATTAAGATGCTTAAAAGGTTGCTAACCCTAACCCTAGATCACTCAACTTAGTTTTACAAATCTCTTTGAAAAGATTCCATTTATTATCCAAGTTCTGTTGTGGACTCAAGTACCGACAGATACACAACCTAAAAAGAAATTTACATCCTCCTCCATTAGAAATGCAAAATCTATTTGTTCACATCAGTTGAGGAAAATTGCATACTGGATTGAAATGTGTTTTTGTAACAGTAGGGGGTATTCTGCTGTTGAGTCTATTTTTGGTATTAAACTGTTTGCTGTCCCTTCATCATAAGCTCTCTCTATCTATAAGATTTCTCTCTATCCTGCATTCATTCTCTGTCATCCATCATTAGCAGGTTTAACTGGACCTAGGGCTGGTATTTAGGCTGGGAAAAGGTTAAAGACCAAACATGAGAGCAAAGATCCAAAGATGTGATTGACACTTGCGGCCAATTAGCAGCCGTAGCCAAGGCAAGACTGTCTGGCAAATTAAAGCAGCATTTCTGTGAGGTCAACTCCGTGATGGCAGAGCATAAAAATGTGACGGTTCATTCTTTTTCCTCTGGCTCAACTCTTAGTGTGTTTAGTCATTGCTTTGGACTTTTGCCTATGGAAACAAGGAGCATATAATTCATAGTAAATTCCACCAGTAGTGTTTAAAAATAACCGGTCTTCATTTGTTTGCTGGGAATTTGAATTTGATACAAATATGAACATTTCTACCATTGTTAACATCCATGAGATCTCAAACAATGGACTTTTTAGTGGTCCTATTTGGGGATGTAACTAACTGTTAAGCCCTGAAAAAAAAGATTACATCTACCACTTAGGTTCTTTGGTTTGTCTCTCTGGGTGGACCTTACATAACACCATACAACATATGGTTTCCTTTCAAAATATTAGGCTCATTAATATTAGGCACAGTAATATTCTGGCTATTTATTGGAGCCCTGGAGCTTTTTATTTCCTGAATTTTCCAACAACAGAACATTAAGCCCAAATCCACATTAGCTATTTATAGGCCTACGTGTTTTGAGTTATTACGGTTTGGATTAAACAAATTCAATTAAACCCTGCTGAAAAATTCAGCTTGCTCTGGCCAGCTACCAGCTGCCAAAACACAGACTGAGCTGCTCAAGAGGGCAGAGTATCATTGCCAGCTTGTTAGTTAGTTTCAAACTTCCTTATTAGTCCAATAAACTAATCTAAAAATGCTGTGATTTTCTAATTGTCTTACTGTTGTGTTGTTTTCTTTAAAATAATGTGTCTATAGCATTGCATTAGTAGTGGTAATTTAGTGGTAATTCCATTGCTTCACAGAACCCAGTGTCAAGGTTCTCATGGGATGAAGTTGGTGTGTTTAGAAAGAAAAAAACACCTCCAGGACCTGAGTTTGACAAATCTATGAATGGGAGTGGGTCATTTACCAGCTTGACTAGCTTGGCCTGTTTTGGCTAATAGCTGGTCTGGCTAAGCTGGATTTTTTTTCCTCAGGGAAGTGACCAGTCAAATCAACTGATATCAAGGTTTTCATGGGATGAATTTGGTGTGTTAGAAAGCGAGAGAGAGAAAAAAACACACCTCAAAGACCTGAGTGTGATAAACTTTTATGTGTAAACAGGAGAGGGTGATTTCCATAACACACCCATTTCACTTCCGGTTGTAAAGCAATCCATGTTTGTGTTGTGTAAAGCTGTTTATTACAGTAGCTAGCGTTTCTACTCTCACTGTGCAACAGTGTACACCTGGCAACTCCAGTGCTACTTCTGAAACCACATACTCCCTCTGCTGGCGCACTATTTTCACACCCTTTGTAGTGGATTGGAAGGCGGTTTGGATTTGCGCCCTAACTTCACTTCACTTCACTTCACCACTTTTGAAGAATGTTTGGAGGAAATCTGTGAAAGAACTCGCGAGAGCAACAGCGCATGCGCAGTGCTAAGCAGCTCTCATAGGAAGTCGTGTTTCTGAGCACCTGATTCCACACTGACGGTAAGAAACTTTATTATTACCATTATTATTATTATTATTTTACGTCTTTTCAGCCGAACAGCTTGTCACAGGCTTTATTTACAGGTGACAAACGTATAAAAGGGAGTTAGAAGGTTTAGAAGTGCTTTAATTCACCACACGACAGTATAAAGCTTTAAAAAGAAGTTTACCTCAGGTGTTCAGCTGGACCGCTTCACTCCACAGCACTCCAGGTTTCTTAATTAAAGTTACTCAGAGTTAACTTTCAGACCTGTGTAGAATATTTTGACTCACTTAAAAAATTAATTTGGCCAAATTTTGTTGTTATGCTATGCCTACGACCGAAAGTTTTTCGAATAAATGAGATGAAAAGCAGCCAGTTGAATGCTAATGTTACCTGTTCTGCTTTTCTGAAACAATGTCGCACTCAGCTGGAGCATGTATTACAGTCAGTGTACAGTTCATATCAATTAAATAGAATAGATGTTTAATTTTACAGAATAGAAAGTATACTGAAAGCTACATGTTTCAGGAGATTTGAGTTATAGTCCCACCTGAAGCATTTAAAAACTTTACTATGAAACTATGCGGGGTGGGGCGTGATAGTGGTTCAGTGGTTAGCATGCTTGCCTCGTACCTGCAGGGTTGTGGGCTCGAGTCCCGCCCCTGCCCTGTGTGCACTGCATGTTCTCCCTGGGTTTCAGGGGTTTCCTCCAGGTACTCCAGCTTCTTTCCCTAGTCCAAGACACACATTTTAGGTTGATTGGCATCTCTGAATCGCCCGGGGTGTGTGATTGTGTCCTGTGATGGGTTGGCAACCTGTCCAGTGTGTCCCCTGGGATAGGCTCCAGGCTCCCCACGACCCTGTGTAGGATAAGCGGTACAGAAAGTGGATGTATGTATGGATGAATAATATGCTTTGGGTCAGGAAATTAAGGGGCTAAAAGTAGGCCAGCTTGCCACTAATTTTGTAAACTATTTAGATAGATATTATTGAAGGGGAAATTTGGTGTCACAACAGCCACAAAACAAGAGCAATAGGCAGTTCAGAAGACTTTAAAAATGCACAATAAACTTACTATATACCACAAATGATGTTCTTCTTTCGGCTGCTCCTGTCACCACAGCGGATCATTGGTCCACATATTTGATTTGACACTTTTTTTTCGCTGGATGCCCTTCCTGATGCAACCTTCCCCAGTTTTATCTGGGCTTGGGACTGGCACTGAGAGCGCACTGTCATGTGGAACCCCAGTGACTGGGGTCGGTCCTCTGGCCAGGAATCGAACCCGGGCAGTGGCGGCAGTGAGAGCGCCGTGGCCTAACCACTAATCCTCCAGGGACCCCACAATATACCACAAATAAGAGGGAATAAAATATACATATAAATAGCTCATCAAGTTATTTACAGACTAAGCTTGCTGCACAGATTAACTGTATGAAATATATTACAGGTTGGCAGGCTTAAAACTGTTCATTAGACATGTGTGATGAGCAGTTGTGGTAGTGTGTATAAAAATGTATAGTAGTCATAAGTAAAGTGGCAGTGCATGTGTAGGAATGTGCAGTGACCCTATGTAAAATTTGTTTGTAATATTTGTGCAATATGCAGTGTAGTAGTAGGCAAAATCAGTAGGCATGTCCATCGTCTCCAATGTCCGCATAGCTCCCCAACTTTGTTGTTGACTCACTGTAGAGTCGGATAGCAGGGGATGTGTCCCAGTGTAACTATTTCAGATTTCCTTATCACAACATACAGCCATACTGTTATTTTGTCACACCCTGCCCTATCTAACTTCCCCATCCTACAGGAACTTCACCTCGCTGTCAGCTTTAATGGATCTGTCTGGGAATTTGTAAGAGCAGCAGCTTGTGCTTTCTGAAAGTCTTCTAAAGGACGAAGGAAAGGACAGTGAATGTTGTCCTCAGATTCAACTACATTTGTTTTTGTATGTAAGCAGCACAATGAACCCCCAGCCTCTGAATGTGGAATGGGGTTTAATATCTTTGGGAAAACAAGGTGTTCACAAAGTGTAATCTTGAACAACCTCTAGAAACGTGCTGTAAATATGATACAAAAGAAAAATTACTAAAAAAAATTAGTAATGATGGTCAGCTCCTTGCAAATGTCAAACTTAATGTCAAAAATGTTTACCTGGCCAAAGCCTGAATGCACATTAAATATGTTTATATTAGTGCTCAGTGATTCTGGTGCTAATTCTTTGGTTGGAGCTGTATTTTAATTATTCCCATGAGAAGTTAGCAGTTGATGTCTGGGGGCATTGCTAGCACAGTTACGATGGTGTTTAAGCCATTCTTTAAGCTACTGTGCTGCTCTCTATTTAGGTAGAGATGAAGTAAGGGCTAAATTGCTCTGGTGCCGCTATCAGCAGGTTGTTGAAAGGCATTGTGGGTAGGAAACTGTTAACCAAAGTGAAAATAGATCATTTTGCACACACGTCTTATTTTCAATAGCAGTGACTCACGTAACGTGTCATGTGCTTTCACAGCAGACAAACTGTGAGCAAAGTTCCGGGCATTAGATCATGCCTAAGTCTAGCAAATGTCCACGACTCATGACATCAGCCTTTTTGTTATCTTGTAACCATTACTGTGTGATCATAGACTAATTTGATTCCCTGCTGGGTTTTTGCAAAACCAATCAGTCGGTCTAGACTCTGTGTAGTTATCTTGTGTCTAATCTGTTGTGTCTCTCTGAAGCAGAAGGGCCAATCAAAAGAGATTTCATATAATCTCGGGACAGAAATCGTTGAAGGACATAAGCAATGGTTACAAAAATGAATAATATACACTTAGGCCTTGATCAGTCCAAAATCTGGCATGGAGTTTACAAAGCACTGTTACTATCCCTACGAGTGCTCTGTATAGATGCTTAGCTTAAAGAAAGCACTGCATTAACCAAAGTTACAGCAACAGGAGGAGGGAGGGAAAGAGAGAGGGAAGAAACCAACAGAAGCTAACACCTGGTAAAGCTTCTCCTGCCCTGTTAATTGTGTAATGTTAATTACTCTGAGCTTAGTTTCTAGATAATTTACATTTAAATTTGTATATAAAAACACTGTAGGTCTCACAACCACCCCACCCTACCAGTATTACACAAATTACAACTCTGCTCATCCCCCTCCTCCTACCTGGTTCTATGTGATTTATGCATAATACATGTATTGTGGGGGTGGGGAGCATATGGAAATTTAACAGATGGACAGTGCGACTATGTTATACCTTGTGTAATGAACAGATGTTGGGAATAAGCCATTTGGGATTTGCTCAAACTGTGTGGTAGGTGCTTTAATAAAAGTCAGAAAAAACTATCCCTGATAAAGATTTTACACGTTTTCCACCTTGCCTAAAATGTAGCCAGTTAGCATCAGATGTTTAGTTATAAATTGTACAGTGAGGGGAAATTATTATTCAGTGACTTTTGTTTTTGTTATTTTATATACTTCCAGCATATGCAGTCCCCTCCGATTGGCCAATTCTATTGTTTTTGCTATACACTGAAGACATTTGGGTTCGAGATCAAAAGATGAATATGAGATGATAGATCAGAATTTCAGCTTTCATTTCCTGATATTTATATCTAGATGTGTTGCACAACATAGAAGATGGCACCTTTTGTTTGAACCCACCTATTTTTCAAGTGATCAAGAATATTGGAAAATGTGACTGACAGGTGTTGCTTGTTGCCCAGGTGTGCCCCGTTAGATTAATTGTTTAAAAACTAAATAGCTCTGAATGTCTACTCATGGTCTGAGCCCTGGGTTTTGCCTGTGAAGACTGCATATGTTGTTAAATAGGCTAAGCCAACATGAAGACCAGAGAGCTATCTATGGAAGAAAAGCAAGCCATTTTGAAGCTGAGAAAAGAGGGGAAATTGATCAGAGCCATTGCACAAGCATTGGGCACAGCCAATACAACAATTTGGAAAGTCCTGAAAAAGAAAGAAACCACAGGTGTAATAACAACCAGACATCGAACAGGTCGGCCAAGGAAAATAACAGAGGTTGATGACAGACACATTGTGAGAGCTGTGATGAAAAACCCAAAAACAACAGTCAGTGATTTCACCAACAACCTCCACAGGGCAGAGGTGAAGGTATCATAATTCAGACATATGAATATTATTATGCTTATAATAATATGAATAATATGTAAATGTTAAAATATAAAAGCTGGGTCCCTGGAGGACTAGTTGTTAGGCCACAGCGCTCTCACTGCTGCAGCCCGGGTTCGATTCCTGGCCAGGGAACCAATCCCAGCCACTGGGGTTGCGTGCAACAGTGTGCTCTCAGTGCTGGTCCAAAGCCTGGATAAAATTGGGGAGGGTTGCGTCAGGAAGGGCATCCGGCATAAAAAACTGTGCCAAGTCAAATACGCGGACCAATGATCCACTGTGGCAATCCCTAACAGGAGCAGCTGAAAGAGGAGCAACAACAACATCAAGATATGAAAGCTGAAATTCTAATCTATCGTCACATATTCATCTTTTGATCTCAAACCCAAAAGTTGCTGTTCCAATACTTTCGGAGGGGACTGGAGGTCATTGATGCACGTGGGGAGTGATGGCTAGCCTGTCTGGTCCCATCCCACAGAAGAGCTACTGTAGCACAAATTGCTGAATACGTTAATGCTGGCTATGATAGAAAGGTGTCAGTACAGACAGTGCATCACAGCTTGCTGCGTACGGGGCTGCATAGCTGCAGACCGGTCAGAGTGTCCATGTAGCGCCTACAGTGGGCACGTGAACATGGGTGCATGTGCGTCGCTTACCTGGGGAAGAAATGGCACCAGGATGCACTATGGGAACAAGGCAAGCTGGCGGAGGCAGTATGTTGCTCTGGGCTGGGAAACCTTATTCTGCTGGGAAACCTTGGGTCCTGGCATTCATGTGGATGTTACTTTGACACGTACCACCTACCTAAACATTGTTGCAGACCAAGTACACCCCTTCATGACAACAGTATTCCCTGATGGCAGTGGCCTCTTTCAGCAGGATAATGCACCCTGCCACACTGCAAAAAAATTGTTCAGGAAGTGTTTGAGGAACATGACAAAAAGTTCAAGGTGTTGACTTGGCCTCCAGATTCCCCAGATCTCAATCTGATCAAGCATCTGTGGTATGTGCTGGACAAACGAGTCCGATCCATGGAGGATCCACCTCAGAACTTACAGGAGTTAAAGGATCTGCTGCTAACGTCTTGGTGCCAGATACCACAGCACACCTTTAGAGGTCTTGTGGAGTCTCGACGGGTCAGAGCAGTTTTGGTGGCACAAGGGGGACCTACACAATATTAGGCGGGTGGTTTTCATGTTATGGCCAAAAGTCTCCATACATAGGGGAAATTAACACTTTTTTAGCAAAATGTCTTCCAAAATTTTTCATACTTAGTTTATATTATATATTTTTTTCGGATAGCCTTTAAGAATGCATTTGACAAAAGAAGAACGTTTTGAAATCACGACACTGTTGCCAAACTTATTAACAAATTTAAAAAGACTGGAAGTGTTGTGGACCAACGAAGAAGAGGACGTCCATGAACGTCCACTGAAAAAGGCACAACTGACGTGTCACAACCGACGTGTCCATGTACTTATTTCCCCTTACTGTAAACATTAATTGGCTTGATGTTTGCTTGTGTGTACTTGACTAGAAAATTACTTGAAATGCCAGTCAGGCAACTGAAGCAGGCCACTGAAATACAATATCACAAAAACTCTTAAATTTCTCTATCTGGTTAGGATGGATTAGCATCTACAAAGTGTTTGGCTCAAATTAATGCCAATAAAATACATTCCACTAGCTATTAAAATATAAGAGCACTTATATATTTTTTCTGTTAAATGTCCTTAAGTTTTCAGGCCTAAATTACCCATTTTACTGTCCCACTATTTCATTACATGCATGAAATTGAGGAAAGAAAATTAATTATTATTCTGCCGTGTCTCCCAGCAGGTTTTTAATGATTAATTTGAGAAACTGTGTTTGTGTTATTTTGTCAGATCAAAAGCAGACTTTGGTTCACTGCCAACAAATCATATAAATTATTATTCTCTTTGCAGAACATAACTGAGCTTAGCTGAAATCACTCAGTCTTTACAATGATATCAGCAAATGACCTGGAACAGCTGGCCGAGATGGGTGAGTCCCAGTGTGTTTTTAGTTTTCAGCAGTTACGCCATAATTACAATAAAGATGTTTAGTTCTGAAATTCAAGTGTCCTGGTTGTGTTTTTTCGACACACGCAGCAGTTAAAAATGATATGATGCATTGGTGTAATCAGTGTAACATACAAATAACTACATCAGAGGCATGTAAGAAATG